AAGTATAATGAAGTCATGATATCTGTCCTTTAAAAGCATATTTATTGTAAATGACATAAGCAAGAGGCTTAAGAGATTTGCTATGACTAAACATAACCAATGGTTCGAAGGAATAGGCAGAAAAGCTAATATTCCTCTTCCAAGTTTGGGATTACATATTCAAATGTCTAAAATACTGACTAGGAAATTTTGCCTGCACGTCTTTCCCTTCAACACAAAGTAACACTGTTTAGGTTGAGCAGATCTGGTAAGCCTTGCAAAAAAAAATAAATAATAGGAAAAATTTGAAAATGATGGCCTGGGGCTGCTACTGCTCTTTTGCTGTACTTTTGAAGTCCAATAGCTCACTAAAGGCCCAATATTTAATAGCTACCTCCTGATCCTTTTCTTCTTCCTGACTCATCATAAAACTACTCTGACTGGCAGCACAGCTATTCAGTAAAAGTGGATTAAAATTCCTAGACAACCACCAAAACAGTAAGCTTCAAATTGCATTTTTTTATCAACTTTATAAACCAAGGACATCAAACCTTTGGCTGAAGCTTCCTGGCTCAGCAAGAAAACTCATCTTGCCCATGGCATTGTTCATGGGGGAACACAGGAGAAGGCTGTGGGCTAAAGGAAAGGCTCTGATGGTAACAGCTTAATCCAAGCCGCCACTTCTCCTTTGTGTGCAGAGGCACATGCTAATGTAACTTTTATACGAATACACTTAAAAAACTGTTCTTAAAATCTTAACATCTGTGATATAACCATGTCAACAGTCACCATGCCAAGATACATTCAAGAACTGCATTTCTCAAAGACCCACTTAAGTTTAGAAAAGCCATCAAAAGGTCTAAATCTCTGCATCTAACTCTTCCGCTAGACCAAAAGGGAACATTTTGCCATTAAGAAATCCCTTTCCAATGCTACATTTATAATCTCCCATGAGATTAAGAGCTGTCTCAGATCACAGATCCATATAATACCAAATGCTCTTTCTGTGGCCATAGAAACCTAGAGAAAAGCATGAGGAACCGGGCAAGCATATGATATTACCACCCCACAGCATTTTACTAGTCTGTAGCAATTTAGACCTCAAAGTCCTCCAGTGTTAGAGGCTGTGACTAGTAATGGTTGAGTTCAGAGGAGCAGCTCCACCCTGAATGAGGCGGTCACAACCCTACTGGTATGAGTGGAAGGGCACTCTGTTTCTACTCTTCACTCTAGGTCTCTTTGGCTCTTGCTTTGTAACAAAGAGAAAAGCTGAAGAAAAGTCGGACTCCATACAATGACAATTAAATGACAAGTTGTACTACTTCTTGATGTAGTGGAAAAGAAGCATCAGTACCATACATTGTCAAAATTCAGCAGTATCTTCAGAAGGCAGTGTCTGCCTTCCTACCAAAAAAGATCACAATAGATTGGTCAATGATCATTTTACTCATACGTTAGCTCCTCTCTACACTTATAACTATTCACAACATCAGACCATACAATCAAAACAAAGGAGATGAAAATATACCAAAATATAAGTAATACAAGCAAATGGACAGGATCAATTTCAATATGGAAGAGAAAAGGCCTGGAAAGGAAGGTAATTCATAAATCAAACACATACGACAGTTTCAAAAACATCTGTGGAATAAAATTGCTTAATGGAGGGAGATTAAATGAAATGGCTTTAGGAAGAAATAATCCAGGGGGTATCACAGCCACAGAACAAACATCTGCCAACCTCAAACTAAAACGGGGATTTCCTCGAGAACCAGAGCACATAAACACTTCACAACTTCCCCTACGTATAGTTCAAGGCTGGCAGTTAGGCGTGCACTAAGGGCTGCTGTCGTAACACTTCTTAAAACCACATTGCCAAATTAAGGTTAGCCTGCAAAGAATACGGGGCAAATGTAATGCAACCCCAGTATCTCAGTCATGAGCACTCCTGGCACTGCATTCTGACGGAGGAGCTCTGTTGACAGCTCCACTGGCAGAAAAGGACAATCACCCAGTCTCGTGGTCAGCAAGGACACAGGCTGCTGTCCCAAGGTCACCTTAGGGCCAAACTGGAAGCCCCATAAAACCAGTGTACACATAAAATGTACAGACGTACACTAACCATACATCCACAGCGGTTTGTGCAAAGATTCATGTGAAAAATGATGAATACATAGAGTTCTGAATGTTAATGAGTGAAAAGTCAAAGGCAAGAATACAAACTCCTTGCAGTTTATTGGCCTCCTCATTAAAGTGTGAAGGGTGAGGAACTTATCCCCCAGCACAAACAACTTCACTGGTCATAAGAAATTCCAGTTATAACAAGAATTCTCTGAAACAAAATTCTCCCCCTATACATACGTGTATTCCATTCAAGCCAATGAAGAAACTCCTACTGATTTCAGCAGAGGCTGAGTAAGGCCCCAGAACTGGACACCATTTTCAAACAGTCTTTTCTTTGAAATTAAATTGTTCTGGACCATTACATACTACTGCTCCTTTGAAAGCATTAATGATGCTTTGTCATTATGCTTTATATTTCTCAAGGAAAATCTAACACACTCGCAGGCTAAATGGATCACAAGTTTTTAGCAAAAGCCCAAATCCCTGAATTATCATAGGCTACAGAAACCTGCTTGACTTTGTTATTCACCTTAGCTCTCTGCAGAAAATCAGAGAAAATACCACTTAATTTATCACTTAATTAACAGCCACAGCCAGCACCAGTCCTAATGGGTACACAGCACAGTAATAATTTGTTTTCAATTAAAGAAAATATTTCTCCAGCATTTTTCAGTAAGTTTTTTGCCTTTGAGGACAGCAACCATGTTTAGAAACAAGTTGCATGGAAGTAATAAATGTATTTTGGGTCAGATAAGTAGCTTCCCTTAAGGATATATTCAACTTTTAGTATTCTCTATGCAAACTAAAGTATTAACAGAGCAAAGACAAAGAGGAACCTTTGACCTTGTCTATTAACAGAGCAAAGACAAAGAGGAACCTTTGACCTTGTCAAGTCACACTTTGAAGCCAGCAGTATAACACCTACACATCCCAGGTACCGTATTTCTGAGTTGCCTATTTTTTTCTGATACATAACCCCTAATAATTTATACCTTAAGTGTAGATTTTGTAGGTTCCATTGAAAAATCAACATACCCTTTCACCTTGAACAATAATATCCCAAATCTAAATATCATATTATAACAACACATTTTTCAGTTCCTTTAGAAGAACACTTGCTAAAGCAAGTCACTCACTCCTCAGTATTGTCTCCTCTGCTGCCAGCCACCACCCTCACAGGAGAAATAACACTCTTTACTGTCATTTACATGAAGTGACAAAGTTACTCTTCAGGCACGCTTTCCCGGAGAGACACAGAAATAGATTTCCACAAGGGTAAATCTGATGCTGTCATATTGAAGCAATTGAATCTACTCCAATTTAAAATGTCTTAGATCCAGTCTATATAATGCATATATCTGATCAACAGTTTTAAAAATCTATAGTAACTAAGTCAAGGATTTGCTAGCTCAATAATTTTAAAGATATTCTAAAATTTCAGTGGGTTCTTCCTGCAAGAGCAAATCAATAATAAAATGCTAAGCAGTTGTGAGGATCTGCCACCACAAACCAATAGATAACACTCAAAATGCATCTGTTTTATTTTTATTGTCCCACCTTGCAGCTATGTATACTGGCACCCAGTTCTGCTCTAACCAATCAAACTTCATACAAATAGGCTATAACCAGAAAAAATATTGCATTTTCCTGATGACATGAGCCAAGGTGTTCTCATGGGAGACACCCTCCACATGAGACCCACTTTTTTGACCACTCTTTTTCCTAGTACTTATGCTTTATACCATCCAAGTGCTCTGAAAAGTTCATCCTTAAAGAGCTGATAGTTTAAGATACCAGAATAAGCTGTGCTTTTCTATTATTTTGTGTGCTTTTATATTTTGAGCCTCGGATGGGCGCATTTTGCACTGCACACATTTAAAAAAAATTATGTATCACAAATATAAACCCACTTGAAAAGAGAAATGCAAATGTAAGGGTGCAAACAGCCACTGTCACTTACATCACTTATTATTTCACTGCATTTTCGGGCCAGTTCCATATTTCTGTCCTCAATAACAGGCTTGAGGAAGACCTGTAAGAGAAAGGTAATCATTCCAGGTTTATTGTCCTAGAAGGGCAACAACTGAAGGAACGAAGTACTTTCCAAAGCTATTGGGATTTAACTCACCTTTTCTTCTTCTTCCCCATCCCCATTTTCATCCTCCCTGAGATCCTGAAGGACAGATACTCGCATTTTAATACTTTGTAGAAAACAACAATGAAAATTCTAAAAAGGTTCAGCGCTGCAGGAAACGGCTCAGACCCTACAGCATGGCCGCAATCAATGCTTCATTTGTGTCTCCCACCTAACTCTACTAAGGCTCCTCCTTATTTAGGCAGCACTTGACAGTCTTATCTGAGCAATTCAGTGTGAGTGAACTGAAAGGCATTGCAGATGGCCTTGCTAGCTATCAGAGCTAATGCTTTCTTACAGATAAAATATAATTAAATGACCTATCTCAGTCAACTATTTTTAAAATGACTATGAACACAATTAAAATACAGTGGTGAAGTTAATTCATAATGTAATTTAGTAAAATTAATAGGCTTAAAGCATTGACTCTAAGCTTATGGGAAAACTGATTCAAAGCATCAATGACCCCAAAAACCACTTATCATAAAACTTTATTTTGTTTGGGTTTTTTTTATTTAAAAAGCACACTATTCTCATTTTCAAGTAGATGTAACTGCTAGTATATTTTTCAGGAAAAACTCCTTTTCCACAAAGCTTATAAAATTCCTTAAATACTTTCCATATCGTGTCAGCTGTGGGTTAAAACTGTGCATAGATACAAACATGTCTGTACATTCAGAAGTATATATGGCCATGTATTTAAAAAAACACGTATGTTCCTTCACTGTTAAAAATCGTCATGGTCTGTAGACTCAAAACCAATCTTTTTCAGTATGAAATCACTGATTCCAGCTGCAAAGAAACTGAAAGATATCCTTATGTCGATGGATATAGTTTCACAGTGATTGCTTCTGTAAAACAAGCATTACAGGACAAATTAGAGCAACCAGCTTTTTAACACCCCCCTCCCAACTTTATCTTATATAATTTGCATTTTATAGAGGTAATTATTTTGAACTTCATCTTGCAAAGTGATTCACCACAAGTGAGCTTTGCAATTAGGCAAAAATATAAAGACCGTGCTCTCTTAAAACACCTCTTCAAAGAATTTTAAGTAATCGCACCCAAACACAATGTGCTTAGAGCTCATTTAAAAGCACACATTTCCTTAGGAAAGAGAAACATTTCAAAGAAGAGGAAAAATACAGCATTTGACTTAACTAAGGTCTGAAAATTTTAAAAAATTCTTAACATCGCAGGTACAAAATGATTTCAGTCTATAATAAACAAGAGTCAGGATTCTTTATACACTAATAGTACAGAAAGCATCATGATTTTCCATTCTGCTATTTCAAATATAAGCTCCTAAAGTTCAGATTTTGATTGGCATTGCTGAAGTTCAGGTTGAACCTTAGAAACCTGGTTTGTACAGATGAGAATTACCTGTGATTTATGCCGACTACTTTTGGAGCTTTCATCCTTGAGAAACAAATCATTTAGACTTGCAAAATGGGTACTCATAGTAATGGGTAATTTTGGAAGATTATGGCCACAGCAAATGTATTCCTAAACAACTGATTCATGTATGATTTTAAGGAGTGCCAGACAGAAATACAGCACTAAGGCTTCATTTGAGAATTTCTGTGATAATATTGCAAAAACTACATTCTTCCAGCACAGTTAATTTCCCTTTCCATCCTACATTTAATACATCTTTTTTAAGTGGGGACATTAAAAAATATTTAAAAGAGTAGAGAATATGTTTACATTATATCTGGTGGGTTTTCAGCAGCTGGACATACCAAAATTTATATATTAATTGTGGTTTTCCTGCAATGGTTTCTGCATAATAAAGATCTGCTTTCTCTTCAGCATGGTTACTTTTGGTCAGCCCTTAAGTGGTCAGGTAGTTGGATTAGATGATCATTACAGGTCCCTTCCAACTGAAATTGTCTATTCTATTCTGTTATCTTTAACTGCATTGATGAATTCATTTTTTTCCTGGTTTTGCATGATCTGGATCAGGCATAATTGAGTGTTCAAATATGCTATATCCCATGTAACTTCCAAAAAACAAGGATTTCAAGACAGCTTTTGTAACTCATCATATTAAAGAAAAATATATAATACTATGCATAAAGGGAATAAGGGAAAAAATATCACAATATCACTAAGTATACACCAGGTATTCAAAATGGCACTTCTCACATAACAGATGCAGTAAGAGACTATATGACACACAAACCTGCCCCCCTTTTTTTCACCCTCAAGACACTGAATACTGTCAGATAACACGCACTGTGCAATAAAGCAAGCCTGAAAATTAAATATATCCAGATGCAATTCAGGGAAGAATTTGTTACAACCATTTAAGAGTCGCATGGTTTAGAAGAGCATTATGATTCTATCACCAGCCTGCAGGTCAACAACAAGCTTAGGCTACTTCCATGACAGGCAATAAATAACCTAGGATCAGCAGGCATGTTTCACATTGCAAATGTTTGTATATGTTTACAAATATTTTTGTAAACATATACAAACATTTTTGTAAACTATTCTAAAACATTTTGTAAACTATTCTAAAAATACTAAATCTAATCTGAATAAAGAGTTAACTATGAATAAATACTTAAAATGCTGAGTTTTACATCTTCCAAAAAATTATTAGGTACGTTGTATTAAGGATTACTTTTCACCTGCAAAACCTGCACTTTTACTGAAACGTCCTAACTGACACTTGGAACCATTTTCCACTGTGTATAATGGAGTAACCATAGTCATTTGTTTTGGCCTGAAATAGAACAGATTAAATAAAATCCAATTGCACAGAATTCTAAGAAAACACTAATGGAGTGCTAAGCTGTGTATACACAATATTTGTATAGCACATGGAAAAATTTATTATTTATAATTTATGATTGCATTATGGATATCTTACTATGCATACAAAGGGGAGAAATCTGTTCTTCAGGGAAGTATGCAGTATGAACTCATTAAAATCTTGTGAGGAAATGCTGCATAGCCCCATATTTCGACTTCCATCCACTCTGCCTGGATATTTCACATCTCAGTTCAAATTTAACCCTAAGAATGAGGACTTGAAGAAGCTACAACAAAACTAAAACAACTGTATGTTGTCTAGATTGTTCACAGAAGCACAGTATTTGCAGAACACAACTTTCACTGCATATGAACCTACCAACAAAAAAAGACAAGCCTTGTAGAAGCAAACTATATGGTTTGCCCTGTAAAAGAAGACAGCTGAATATCCCAATACTTACAGACATCATTCAATTGTGTCAATTTACTACTTTTTGGCAAAGAACATTACTCAAGTACTTGGTCTAAATGTGTATCTGCTGAGGAGGCGTAAGAAGAAAAAGCATGGGGTATAAAGAAGCCTAAGCCCCCATGAGTACAAATTGCCCCAGCATGTGAATGGTTCAGGCAAACAGTCGTAGAGCTTTCCTGATTTGATCACACACAGCTGTGTCCACATCTGTCCAAAGCCCCACCATCTCCTTGTCCCTTTATCAGTCTTTTAAGAAATACATCTGGGAGATGTTAGCCCAGAAAGTTAAAAGGCTTCATCTCATTTTGGCCCTGATATACATAGTGATTTAGCAGCGATGCTTAGTTCTGCTCTGAACAAACAATAACACTGGACTTTTTTGGCAAAACTTCCGAAAGCCTTCTGAGATCTGCAATATCCACGTGTATTGCTGAGCTGAAAGAACTTCTTTATCACTTCACAGAACAGCAGAAACTGTGCTTATCCTAGAAAAGGTACCAGAAATATCACAATCTCAGAACTGTATAATTGTAGAGTTTGTTATTGAGTACTTGAGCATAGGTTGCAAGCTAAGGACTGAGGTATTTCAGCTGGCAAATCTGTACACATTATAGTGAGAGGTATTATGAATATACTCCTTTCCATTCTGAACTGAAAACCTAGGAAGATTAGAGGTAGAGTTTTAGTGCTAACTATCCTGTTTCCAATAAGTTAAAAATCAACCCACAGACATCCCAGAAATGAAAGTATTATTTTCCATTCTCAGTGGACAGACACACATCACTGAAATGAGTACAAATAATTCAACATGACACAGCTGGTGGTCTCTTTTCAGAAAGAACAAAAAGTGTTTGTAAGCACTGAGATTCAATTACTTCTCATTACTAGAAATACTCATCTATCAGACTGGAAGTTACTAGCATAAGGAAGTTCATAGTTAAGCTATCAGTACCACAATCAACAAACAGAAAGAAAGCAAGGGATCCCAGCCTGCCAATTTTAACTTCCCCTGAACATGAAATACCAATTAATGTCAACAAAAGAAAGTCAGGAGATGGTTCTATTTAGAGAAAAACCTTGTATCTGTCAGATGATTAACACCACATTTATTAATAACACTTCAAAACCTCCAAATATCTCATGGTTCTAAGCTTTTTATTCAATGGAAGTTATTTTGTGTAAGGTTTTGGTAAAGCAGAGAGTGGCAGTGGTATTTTTAAGCATGAATACAATAGGATTTCTGAATCCCAGAAAATGAATTTTCAATGCCTAATACATAAATATAGACACTTTTTGCAAACACATACTCATAGAGGCTTTGTCTAGTCCAACTGGATCTTGACAGAGCATTTAAGATGTCTGTATGGTACAACTAGTTTCACGTAATAATACCCAATCTAATCTAGTTACCATAAGCAGTGTAGCTATGCCACCATGACACTAAGTTAATAACACTCCCACATATCTAATTATCCTAAGAAATGAACCCATTCAGAAGTGGGAGTATTTATCAGACCACAAGAGTGTGCCATGTGGATGAAACCGTGGTCAGCAACTGTGGTCAGCAACAATACATTGAAGTAAAGCAGTCTAAAGCTTTTCCACATATTAATGTATCCAGGAGAATAAACAAAAACAAACAAACACCCCCCCCCATTTATTTTTCTGACAATATTCGTATTTGCCTACTACATTTGCACAATAGTTTCTAACCCTCACAGATGGTATTCCCTAAATGGCATAATGGGATCATACAGTTTCACCAATTTTTTTTTTCCAATTTTTTTTCATTTGACAAGGAATTCAATTCTTAGCCATAGGGGCATTTGGTGTTTCCATACACACCCCAGTATTTCCAGTGTAACCAGAAACCTAAAAAACCCTGTTGTTCCGAAAGTTCTCTTCACAAGTTGATGAACCAGCAGCTGAGATGTCATGTTTGCTGCATTGCAACTGTTTTGTCCACTCTACTGTGGCATTTCCCTATCCTGCCAAGTGTAATAAAGCTCCTTTCTCTTTGCTCAAGTCTTCAACCAGAGCTAACAGCCCTGGTGCATAGCAGCTGAGGCTTTCCATCATTCCCCACCTCTTACTAAGCCATTACAACAATGCATAATCAAGATACTTACTCAATGAGTACAAAACTGGAACCCTCATGCCAGACCTGTACATTAGTAGTCAAGAGACTTGCTAGTCCTCTGTAGCTGGTGAAGAGCAGTACACATTCAAGCTATTCCTCTGCCCTGCAACTTCTGGCTTAGGTTTCATATGCCTGTTCTACAGAAGATGGCTCGAAAATTAAATTACCAGTTGACTGGGTTTTACTTTGTAAGTTACCCATAAAAGCAAAATTGCATTGGTCAGAAAAAGGATTCATGAGGGACATTACAGCTTTTGTCTTAGGACTCCTCAAATGCAGAAAAATTTAGATAATAAATTAAAGTTTTCCATTCACAAATTTTAATTTTCTCCAAAACTAAATCCTATGGAAGAAAGAGCCAGGACTATATAATAAGAATTTGGAAATTTTATCCTGCTATAAATCACAGCTAAAATTATCAATGATTGTAGGTGAAAGATATGAAGCCAGTAATAACTTTCAGTTTTCCTCTATAAATC